TCAGGTTCTTAAGTTACTTGTGTGTACGTGTGTGGTGTCGTTTATTTGTGTCACTGTGATCCTAGTAGGAAGCCTTTTTTGAAACTCATGGTGTCTAATTAATTTGGATAAATAGGGATTATCCAAAGTTTATTAGTGGCAGTAATTCCCAGTAGGAAATAATTCTGAGTGTCTGTCCGTCTACTTTCTTAAACTCAGAAATGAAAAATGATTCTTCTTAACCCCTGGGCTCCTTCCCAGCTATCTTCTAACTGTAGCGCTTGTGTGTAAGCATGTGCTTTAACTCCGATGCTGGCCCTGTCATACTTAAAGGAGGAAGGCACTCGGGGCTAACAGTGCTACAACACGTCATCACTTAACAACAATTTATACCTGCTATTTTTAAAGGCTTTCTTTTGATTGGGGGAGGGCTTGCTTCTCCCAACCTTTGCATCTGCCACCACACCACCTTCTGTATTCCCTCTTCCTCAAAGGCAAACCATGTTAACAACTTGATTTGCCCTTACAATTATATGTAGGTATATAAATACCATTTCTATACATACTTTGTATTTATTTGTGCATAAAGAAGTATGCTTAACTTTCTGTTGCCATTAGCTTGTGTGGTTCGCAGCATTTCATAAACAAAAATATGTGAAGTAAAAAGAACAATTATGATGTAAAAGTATATAGATTAATATTCTACTAATAGTTTCTAGTAGTGTTCCTCAGGGCTTGGACGTGCTAAGCTATAACTTAAGCACAAAGCAGAACTATAATTGAGACGTAATATGAAAGCTCATTTTTCTCCAAGCAACAACTCAGTAATGAATTTTAATCTGTATATTGTACACTACTGCCCAAACTCACTAACTACAATTGTAAAAGCCCATATGTAAATTTCTGCATAGTAAACACACAATCCAAAACACAAGCTTGTTATACAATAAATGAAGTATATGCATAAGATATTAATTATAAGTAACTCAGAATTGTTGACAAGAAATTAATATTACAGTTAACTAAACTTAAACCTTAATATTTTACAACTGAGCTAAGCTAATTTAGTAAGAAGCTAACAACTCTAAAACACCGGGCTTGAATAAGAATAAATTTTACTATCAAATACATAAACTTTAGCTTATCATCAGACTACTTTCTTATATATCTTAAGAATCTGTTGAATTTACCTTTTGCATATGTCCAATCTACACGTCTCTTACAGAGATATGATGAAATAGCTATCATCTATCTCTGTTAAAGAATAGTGGGTAAAAGTGAATGACGTAATTCTAACTCTGGTGAGAAGAAAAAATGATCAGGACCTATCGGTAAGTGAAGGAAGCCAGCTCCAGAACAAAGTCTATTTGTGTGTTCCTTCTTATATTAAAAACAAAAGCTACATATGTACACAAATGCATAGAAAAATGTCTGACTTCCATGACAGTGGCAGAGACTGGGAAAAAAATTTCTGGGTTAATGTCATTAAATTATTCACAGTAATTATATAATATCAGTGAAGGGGAGTGAGACTGAGGATAGTGAAAGAGATCCTCACTTTTTACCCTACGTGCTTTTGTACTGTTTGAATTTTTTTCTATTTAGAATACATTCAGGTGTTATTTATATTATTTTAAAGATGATTAAATAAATAAAACCCTCTACTGATTAGGTTTAGTTTCAGTGGCATGAATATAAACTTAAGTAACGTAGCTCTCCTGTGGCCCTACTCAATGCAGTCTTCAGCATGCAGTCTGCTTCCAGGTTCCTGCTCCCCCACCTCAAGCATGTGTCTCACATTCTCAGTAACCAAGAAGCACTCCAGCCATCACACCTATGTCCCAGGCATCAAGATGAAGGAATGAAGTTTCCAGGCAACTGCCACACAACACTTCGCCGTACATTCCATTAGCTAGAACATCTTTACGTGGATGTACCTGGCCGCAGGGTAGACTGGGAAGTCTAGTGTGGCCTTTCCCCTGGAGGCCGTGTACCTAGCTTAAAAATCAGGGGTTCTGCTATTGTTTTTAAAAAGGGGGAGAATGGGTAACATAGTATGTAATTCAGGAATTTCAAATTACTATACACAGAAGTTTGGAAGGATTGCTAAAATAAAGGCAGTTTGTAGAAGAAGTAGGTGTTCAAATTTCAGAATCAAAATGTGATTTAAAAACTTATTTGCTCTATAAGATGTTGCAATTAATAAATACAAAAACACTCTGTTGTTCAAATGTCTAGAGTTGGGAAAGATTATCTGATAATTATCTCAATAAATAATATACCACTCTAAACAACAACAACAACAAGAGGAGGTAGGTGTGCTGAAGGATGGTGATGGGAAGATGTCTCCTGAAGAAAGATTATGTAATTGAGATGGAGACCCAGGTGGCTTCAACATATCTGCTGCCATGTATTTGGAGCAGCCTATACTGAGACTCAAGGGCAGAAAAGAAATAATAAGAGAAAAGAAAGTAAATCAATCTAAAAGAAAGTTCATGAATCTTTCTCCACAAGTGGAATTGTGGTGCCTAATTGAGAGACAGAGCTATGGGCCTCAAAGACACCAGTCTTTGAAATCAGGAAGACCTGGCTTTGTTGATAGCACGATATTTCAGTTAAATGCAACTAAACACCACTTGAGGGGATTTTGAGGACTAGTAAGAGAAAGGAAAAATGGAAATATTTCTTTTGTTTCTGTGTCTTTTATTTACATTTAAGAAATCATGAGCAGATGCCTGTGGATTTTAGCATACACTTCCCAAAAACTATAAAAGTTAGAAAGTGAAACTTAAATAAAGCCACAAATGTCAGTTAAATTTCTATTGACAATAAAAGAGTACATTATTTAAATGGTCTCCTAAACTATTACAACATAAATCATTACACAACATTTGTTTTGTTTTGTTTTGCTCAATGCCCACTCCTTGCCTGATAGTATATTTTAGAGTGAATGGTACACCACTCATTTTGTTTATCCATTCATTGTGATGGACAATTGGGGTGCTTTAATTACTGACNATTACACAACGTTTGTTTTGTTTTGTTTTGCTCAATGCCCACTCCTTGCCTGATAGTATATTTTAGAGTGAATGGTACACCACTCATTTTGTTTATCCATTCATTGTGATGGACAATTGGGGTGCTTTAATTATTGACCACTGGAAAAGCTTTTAAAAAAAATTATGGGAAACGGATTTATAAGTGACTAGACAGTGAACTATACCTTATAAATAGCATGGTTTAACAGCTTCAGTTGATTAATTAAAATAATACTACTAACAGCCTTTAAATGATACTCACACTTTCTTAAAACACTAAAATGTACATATCACTCCTGCCAACCTCCTTCAAAATTCTGAGGATAAAATATTATTTCATGTGTTTATACTGGTTTTATATCTTAACAGAGGACTCTATGCTACTTGAATATTGATATACTATCTTAACTAAAGCAGTCACAAAAATAAAAGCGTTGGCCTCTGGCCTTTCAGAGAAGTTCCCACTAAGTTCACATGCACATAATGAAAATAGCAAATTAACTTATTAGTGTTAAGCGTTTGAGAAATGTTTTGTTTATTTATTAATTTATTTATCAAGTACAGCTACATAAGAGGAACTGAGTTAATTCTGAAACCCTCGGTTTCCTTTCCTCTACACCAATAGCTAGTACTGGCCACTAGCTTGTTCTTTCCTTTGCAGAAGTTGCAAAACTGAGAGAGAAAAAACAAAACCAAGTTGACATTATTTTTAGCTCTCCTCTGATTTGGATATAGCTACTGTCCTCACTTTTTCTCATGGCAACTGTCATAACTATTCAAAGGAAGAAAATGAGGCAAAGGGGAGGAGCAACGAATTATGCCAAAGGACCATAGCAGGATTATTGGCAGGAAGCTGAGCTGAAGGAATAGATAGCTTGAGAGCTTCTTGGCTCTGCTCTACTCCAATGCAGGAGAGCCTCCAACCATAGTGCAGAAACTAAATGCTGCCTAAATTGGGTCTCTCCAAGGCCAGGTATCAGTGCCCTTGGAGAAATAATTTAAGCTTCTCAGCTTCAGACCTTCGTCCAAATTATTAGTACAGTGGTAACTCTGGTACCCAACCCTTCAAGGGAAGGGGGTTGTTGCAATGGTGAATGATTTAACCAACCAAGTTTAAAATAGCAAGGATGACCTATTTTTGCAAAATTTTATTTAATTACACTTAACAAGGTAGTGCATATTAGCTTAGATCAGTAGTTGGCATACTATGGCTCACTGCCTCTTTCTGCACACACTGTAAGCTAAGATGATTTTTAATTTTTACATTTTCAATAGGTTGAAAAAATTAAAAGAATAGTATTTCATTACATGTGGAAATTATATAAAATTCAAATTTCAAAGTTTGTGGAAATTTGTTTTCTTATTGTGTAAGTACCTACATAATATCATTGAATTTGTCTATTGACCTATAAAGCCTAAGATATTTACTACCTGACCCTTTACAGAAAAAGTTTGCAGAGCATGGGATTTAGTATCTGGTAGACCTGGGCTGATCTTCAGGGCTGCCATTTACTGATTGTATGACCTTGAGCAAGGCCTTTGTTGCAATGGTAAATGATTTAAGCCTCAGTTTCTTTGTCTTTAAAACGGGCATACAAATAATATTCATGTTGCAGACTTAAATGAGGTAATACATTTCATGTGCTTAAAACAATGCCTATCAGATGGTAAGGGATCCACACATTATTATTATTGTTGTTTTTGTTTTACCATAAAGCAACTGAGACTAAACAAAATTGCAGAACTAAGGAAATTTTAAAGGTATATTAGAAACTGTAATAGAATCTACACTATTATACTTAGGAAATTTTTAAACTTATTTTAAAAGGCATTTTGGATTAAATAACAACAAAAGCACACTCAAAATAAAATGGATAAAATTGGTAAGTCTCATGTTAAGATAGTAGTAAAAACAGTCATACCCAGACATTCAGGGAAAGCTGAGAATGCAAGCCATATATCTGAATAAATCCTAACGCTCACCTCTTTAGTCACATGCTGGCTATGCTGTCCAATTACTAGAGTCAGCAAAGAAAATGACAGAACTCCACAAACTTCATAGATACCTTGATGAAGAGTATTATGGAAACAGACAAAAGGAAATATTTTATTAAGCTGTAATCTTTGTATTGGTACTTAGGTATGCACAATTGGGAAATCACCACAAATAAGTTCTAACTCAACTTTGCTCAGAAGGTTAGAACTTAAAACTTCTGGGGGCAGGACCTGAGGCAACGCTTCTCTGCAGTTCACACTGGCACCACCACATTATTTTGCACAGATGGGCTTTTCACTTTTTTTTAAATAGCAGATTTATTGGGATAAAATTCATAGGTCACATTATACACCTACTTAAGGTGTACAATTCACTGGTTTTTAATATAGTCAGAGTTGTGTTACCATCACCACAATCAATTGTAGAATATATTCATCACCCCCAAAATGTACCCATTAGCAGTCACTCTGTTCAGTCCCCCAGTCCCTGGTAACACCTAATCTAGTACTATAGATTTGCCTATTCTGGCCATTTCATATAAATGGGATCATACAGTGAGTATGTGATGATGTGTGAATGCCTCCTTTCACTCAGCATAATGCTTTCAAGTTTCATTCATCTTGTAGCAGATATCAGCACTTTATTCATGTTTACTATGAGATAATTTTCCATTGTATGGATATGCCACCTTTGCTTACCCATTCATCATGGGATGGACAACTGGGGTGCCTTTAATTTTTGATAATTGGGTAAAAACTTTTTGCTCTGATTGAGGCAATACTTGACTGGTTACCTTGACTAAGCCAGCCTTATGGGGCACAGGTTCCTCTTGCTGAGAGATAAAAGATGTTAATATAATATTCAGCCAGAGCCATGTAAAGGAATCTGCAAGAATGTGCCTGAAAAATATGTTGGAGAAAGTGGTCAGGGCTGTAAAAGCTTCTGTTCAGGGAGTCATGCAGGGCTGAAGGCTCAGTGCTGTTCATAGAGCAAAACCTGGAAACAATTGACGGGAAATGGATAAGCTGTTCACTCTGCACAAGAGATCAGAGGGAAAGCTTGGGGTTCACTTCTGCTAGCTCTGTCTTGACAGCAGTCCCCTGAGAGTCAGCCTCGTGTCCCTCTGCCATGCCCAGAACTATAATAACCAAGAGTTTTTCTCTTGAATTTGTAGTTGCTTGTCACTTTCCGCTCCAACCACTCAAAAATAAAAATAAATTGCTGTGTAGAATATTGTAGAATATAATACAATGGTGGAGTTGAAAAATATAGCTAACCCACAAGTTAATATTTTGTATGATAATCTTTTTACAAAGTTATAAAACAAAATTAAACAATATATTGTCTAAATTAAATAACACATTAACAAAAACTAAAAATAAATTACTGTATAGTCACATAATATTGTAAAATAAATACAATGGTGGAGTAGAAAACATAGCTAACTCCAGGAGTTCATTTTTTGTATGATACTCTTTACAAAGTTCAAAGACAAAACTAAACAATATATATATACTTAGACAATGTTAATTTTGTCTTAACACTATATATATATTTATAATATACATAATAAAACTAAAAAGAAAAGAGGTAATAACGAATCACCCATAATTAATTCATGATTGTGTTTACAACTTTAGGGGAGAGGCCCCGGGTTGGACTAGGAGAGGGACATGTAGGCACCTGCAGCTTATTGCTAATGTTCCTGGGTCAGGGGCGGGGGCAAAGGAGTTCATTATAAATACATATAAATACAAAGGAGGGCTATCCATGGATTAATGATGAGTGTCATGAACCAATGAATATAGTAAATGAACTCAGGTTACCTAAGGTGCAAACAAATAGTGACAAAGAACAATAAATGAAAGTAATGGGTGTACATTGTAAAAATTTGGATATACATATAACCTATAATTATAAAAAAGGTTTCACTGGCTATTTCGTCAGGTAGAAATATTATAATTAACAATGTAACAATGCACTGTTATAGTCTCCCATTTTTTCCCCTGTGAATAAAAAAAATATTTTTAATGATACTAAGAAGTGTCAAGTTGAGAAAGTCTACGCCCTGCACGAAGGGTTTAGGTCAGGCTACTCACTCCAGGGTCCAACCAGCCTGGCCTCGGCCCTACCGCCAGCCAGCAGCTATTTAAGCGGCCGGCGCTCAGCGACG